TATATTTACAATTTGTACAAGCTGAAAAATACAAAATTTGTCAACTAAACAGTAATTTCAAAGAACTAGCACACACATGATTGCTAAAGGACACACAGAATCAAGTGGGAATCGTATTTATGTGGACTGTTTAACTAAAAGTTGAGAAAATATAGATGTACTACCTAAGAAGCTGAAAGAAAAGGTTAATATAATTATTGTTTGTTTATAAGGGTTTTCTGGTTCGTTTTTACAAAAGTCCAAATTTTTGGTACAAATAAGAAATATGTTTTACTGTAAACATGTCCTAGAAGAGAAAGAAAACAAATAAATACATATTATAGTAACTATGGCGTGGCAAGTTTTATATATTAATTGTAACCTACTTATTCAACAAGACGAGGCAAACAAGATATATCTGTTAGACAAACAAGACTGTTCAGAATTTAATGACTTCCCTTGCTTGATTTATTTTTATACCTCCATATAGTTGATTTATTTCACATTTTAGATACATCTAGATAGCCTATTGACTAAAGAGTTATCAACATAAAATTGGTAAACAAAAGAATTGCATAAAACTGTTAAAAAGTAAAAAAAAACATTAAAGGGTGATAAGATGATAATTGATGGAATATAATCAACAGGAAAATGTTGCAAAAATTTATTTGCTGGTACAAACCTTGCACAAAACCTTCCTGTTTAGCTTATGACACAAAAGCTTATTTAACAATACTTGAATAGTGTACTGTTAAGTACAATATTTATTGAAGAGTACTTATGTATATTTGCAATGTAATTATGAATGTAAATTTTTTGAGCATTCCTGCATAGTAATTTATAAAACAAAAAACATTCAGTACTTTTTATACATTCATTTATATAATTGCTTCAATTACAATAACATAAATAACATGGAATCTTCACAATGTACATTCGTTTAGATGACAACATGAATATTGATCGAGAAGTCACTAAAAAATGTTCCAAACCTGACAAAAAACTCCTACAAAGGAAGTAGATTAAGACCAAAAAGAAAACATTAGAGCCTATAAGTGTGTATATTACTATTTAAGCTACAACTACTGTTGGCTGATTGGATATTCAAGATTATCTACACTAAGTACAACTTATGTTGCAACAAATCCAACTTCTAGCTATATAATGAATAGTAAAATAACAATAAGGCAGTTGAGAGTTGTCTTATTATATAACAACTTAACACTAGAGTCCCAGTTAGTTATATTGCAAAGCTAGCTGTAATATCTTAGGTGTTTTAATATACAATAAATATTATAATTTTCTAATTACTACTGCTTTCAATTTTAATTAAAACAGTCATAAAACAATTTATTTAATAGCCAATTTTGTTGTTTTTCAGGGTTCATATTTAGCAGTAACTATGTGAGATTCATCATGCCGAGAATACTTAAACAAATATTTAAAAACCTGACCAGAAGAAGGAACCAACATTATTCTTTAGTCCTTACTATAAGATGCATATTTTAATGACAAATTGACATTTTTATTGACAGGTTCATTGTGTTCGATTTTAACCATTGTTTTACTCATAGCAAGTATTTATCAGATAAATTATATCAATTAAAGAGACTTTGTGTGGTCCACAATCAGTATGAATGTCTGTTCTACAAGAATTTTGAGAGTTATAGCTGGGTAAACTGCTATTCTATAGACATAAAGTATGCAATGCCACTACTTCACTTTGTTACCCTATGTTACATTTGTGCCCTATCCCTATTATTACCCAAATTATTTATTTAACAGTTAAGATGAATTGGGAGATTTTTAAGTATAAAACAGTTAATGCTTTTTTGCAGTGTACAATATTAATCCGTTGAAAGTCAAAAAAAGACATTAAGGTCTTTTTCTTAAGACAAAACTTACTGAAAAGAAGTAGTGGAAGATGGGTGGCACTTATCTCTATCTAGATATATCATTTTATTTTTATTTTCAATTTTCGGTTTAGTTTTTCTGAATTTATCTTTTTTACCTTTACAAAAGCATGTAAAAGATATGATGCAAAACTTTTAGGAACTACATCTCTTGAATTTACCATTGCATTATGAAAGTTCCTTTTTATACAGAATACCTTTATTTTTCAGGTCACAATAAAGTTATTTAATAATAAACTATTTATCATTATATAGTCTTATTTAACTATAACCTAGGACAATTTGTAAGGAGATTAATTATTAATTATTTATTTAATGTTACTTTCTAGCTGAAATTCATCTAAATGATGTTCTACTTATACAAAGCATTTAGTAGATGGCTAACAAACCATTTAGAATTTAGCCCATTTAACACAACATATTACATGGTGAGCCAATTATTTTTCAGAATAACAAGATCTTTTGGAAGATAAGTGCCAGGATAAGGATGATTTGTTTATATAAGTATCTACTGTTGTTTTTAATAAAATATTTACAAATATCGAGACTTTTATTTAACATACCTATATCCTAATACCTAATCCTATTTAAAGCATATAATGTTATTTATCTATAAGTTCCACAATGTAAAATGTTTACATAGAATTCAATGAAAATGGCTAAGAAATATACTCCACAAACACCAGTATGTACAGATGCCATAATTTGTAGCATTTTTGTGGATTTCAAAATAAAATTGAAGCGTCAGTGAATCATTGTGAGAACAAAAATCATTTTTGATCAGAAAACCAAAAGGTTAACAAGATCCCTAATTTTCACAATTTTTTATGTATTATTCTTATTAAGGACAATAAAATTAACTTCTTTTCCTGATTTATACCATCTTTAATGAGATACCTATCAGAAAAAACTATACCATGTGATTTATCTTCTTGAAAAAGACAACCACATTCAAACATGAGTAAAATTATCTCATTATATTTTGTAGATATTATTTTGTGAACAGTATTCAGAAGAAAATATTTATTAATCTACTAGAAAGATCACATTAAATTGTTGATTGATATAGTATGTCATCATTTAAGCTTAATTATGATAAAAAAAATTGCCATATGAAGTTCTTTTATATGCTTAGGTAATTTTTCAAGAAAACTTTATCAGCAAAGTTGTTTTACAATATTACTTCAAAAGTATACTTCCAATGTAATTAGACTATTTGCTGTAAGACATGGTTGGTTTATTCCAAAACCCTTAATGGTAACTCCTTTTCAAAAGAATATAACCCTTAACTACAGAGATCAGGTATTTCTTACCAGTGGGTCCCAAAACGTGGATTTCATGGTAATCACACCACTTACAATTTCATGTGCCTCAGTTCCTCTTGGGTAGTTTGTATAACAGTGTTAATCAAAGCGATCAGGATATATTGTGAATATTTTAGTTCCTAGTGCACATCAAAAATCTTAACCGTAAAATTTACCATATGTCATGGGAGCTCAAGTCAAGTCATCCTGGACCTTCAAAGATGGTTAAATTTGGTGATAAAAATTTGGAAGAAATTTTGCAAAAATGGAATGAGAAAAATTGATTCTAGTGCAACTGATGTGGTTTCAGATGCAGGGTATTTACCAACAGACCATTATAATGAATCACTGAAGAAAGAAAAACCACTCATATTTGCATAATGTGCAAGACTCTGATATGTTTGCAATGCACAGGCAAGAATTTGCAAGGAATGTGCCAGTAAATTTTTTTGACAATTTTGCCTCTTGCAGATTTTTTCTCATGGATGTATATATTTGCATAAATGCTATTTTATGTTTCTTTTACGATTCCATATTAGGTTTATTTGTTTAAAAAAAATCTAAATTTTTATTTATAGCATTTACAGCTGTTTATTTCAATAGACCAAAAATATTACCAAAATTATCGTTTAATAGATTATTCTTTAAAAATCTTGTGTTTTATTATTGAAATCACTCATTTCACCAGTTCTCCTATATCTAGTCACTGCAGAAAAATACATGATGCATTTTTTTTATTAACTTTATGTTTTACTTTATATTTGACTCCATTTTATAATGACAGGTAAAAAATACCTGGGCTCTGTTGTGATGTGGTAATAATGGAATGTCTGTAGTTAAGGGATAATTAATCTTTAGTTATTTCATTTTCTTATAGTGTAATTTTGTAGAAAAGTTATTTTTAGTTAGGTAGTCAGATTGATTACTACAAAAACTTTTAATTTTGCAGCCTACTACCTAATAAAAGATATCTCTAACAAATATGTATCCCAAAACGCAACTTTTTAAGACACTTTCCATAGAAGTACAAGAAGTAGAGACCAGATATAATTTATTTACTTTGGAAACATACATTGTTACGTAAACATGAAACAATAAAGACCTCAACTGATGTAGGCCAAATATAAGTTTGACAGGACAGACAGATAGAATTAAAGGTAAAAAGGATGTGAAACTCCTCAAATCAAGAACTACATTACTTACATGTTGTTGATAAATGTAGAAACTCTTTTTTTGACAATTTCTAGTTTAAATTTTTAGATGTTAATAAGTGTAAAGGTTAATACTCCTATTAATGGTGTACTTCTCAATATATTTTTAATTTTGACATTAATCCTTTGGGAAGACATTATATTGGAGATAACCAAGTATATTTTTATCAAATTTAATAAAAGTTAGTTTTAAATCAAGGTTAATCTTTAAAAGTTGTTGCTTAGTAGAGTTCAAACATCCCTCATATCAAAGATTTATTGATATTTTACATAGTGATCTCTTGTTTATCTAATGGAATTTTTTATAGTTAACTTTAGATATTTCATACATTTTTTTCTAGTTCTAATATAATAGATAAATTATTATAAATATTTTATACTCAACAAAAGAGATACTAAGGAAATGTTTTGTTTAGAAAATATATTACAGAAGGAAAGAAGTGGACCATATCCTTGTACCATCAATAAGATGTTTTGAAACTGAAATTTCACAAGTAGAATTGTCAAATTGACAATAGGTGAAAAAGCTGTAACCAGAAAACCCCCAGAGTAAAAATTAAAATACTCAAACCGTGCCATATTATGAAGGATACACTTTGAGCCTCTGGCCCATGTCCTGGATGAAGTTGGCAGCTTGCTGGCGATTGGAAAGTTCCTTGTGTGCATCGAAGCCACATTTTCTCGATGGAGTATTTTCTAACTGTTCTTTCGTAAAATACCACCTATCGCTCGGGTTCGACGGGGTAGCCATTTACAAGTTACGAGTATTTTGTTAACGCAGATGGCGTTAATATTATTAGAACTAAAGTCCATCAAAATAATTACAGTCAAACGTGACTGTATAATAATTATCCACTATGAATGATACCACGCTTAAATTTTACTATAAAAATAAATGAATAATGTCATGCGAGCACTTATCACAAAAAGAAATGGAGAATGGAGGTTATTAATTGCGTCACTGAGATTTGGGAATTTCCAGTGTTAGTCTTGCGATATTTTCAGTTTTTGTGAAATTTAGAAACCGTACATTTAAATATATCACCTCTAATTAAAGTATGTAGTTTGCATAACAAATTAAGATATTTTTTAATAGTTACGATATAATTTTAAATACTTAAATTCGTACATACACAAAATCGCAAAAATTGATGTTATCCACTACTCGATGGCCGACCAACCATGCTTAACAAGTGTAGTACTGAATACACATTCACATCCAAAAACAAGATACCAGATTAGACTAATTTTACCCGATTAAGTTTTAATAAATCACATAAGATTTTTTCCTATAAAACAAATATGATAATACTTGATACTACTGAAATAACTGTAAATAAAAATATCAGTTTAGTTGTGACTTTGACTAGTGCCGTTCTTGGAATTCCTTAGGTCGTGTCTATTAATACGACGACGGCATTTTTTCACAACTACGTTTGTACGATAATTACAGAAAAAATTGATTAGTAAGATGTAAAAAGATAATTAAAATATTTTATAATTACTAAATATACTATTCGCTGTATTTTTTAAAGAAATTAACATTTATTTAAACGTGTTTTAAGTCTTTGTGTTGGTAGACCGAATCCAGTTTACCAACTAAGAAAACCGTCAGTAGTCATTGTCAGCCTTCATTAATAAAAAAACTGTTAAATTAAACAAAAAGAAGAATGTTTTTTGACATCTGACATAAATTTAAAAATTTTATTAAAAGTTTTTTAAATACAATAATACAAATACAAAATATATATCTGTGATAATAATCGTGAGAATTAAATATTGTGTGAAAATCTGAGAATGAATGATCTTTTAATGAATGATACTTTTGAAAATATCACATTTACACAGAATACTTTTACAACAAAGTCATTTCCCCATATTTATACAAATTCTTCAAATGGGGAACATGTTTCTCAAAAGTTAAACAAAAATGAAGAAAATGGTATACTTTTTGACGATTCTGTATTTTTGTCACAATTATCATTTACGTCTGAAGAAGACTCGATTGAGAAACATATAGTTCAACCAGTAAGTTTACAAGAAATTATTAAGGAGTCTCAAAATGTTTTATCTGGAATTGTATATGAAGAAAAGGAAGTCTCTGTGGGACAAATATGTAGTAATAAAAAAGATTTATGTGATAAATATAGTATACAAAGCATTTCTATTGCAAATGTAAAAAGTCAATCAAGTAAATCTGAATGTAATAAGGATACCATTTTATTAAAAAATAATGTAGATTTGAATCAGCTCTCTTCATGGGGACTGCCCAAAGCAGTTTTAGAAAAATACGAGTCCAGAAATTTGAGGACTATGTTTCCTTGGCAAGTAGACTGTCTTGGCAATGAGGAAGTCTTGAAAGGGAAAAACCTTGTATACTCAGCTCCAACGTCAGCAGGAAAAACACTTGTAGCAGAGATATTAGCTATTAAAACAATTCTAGAACGAAAGAAAAAAGTTATTTTTATTTTACCATTTGTTTCTATAGTTAGAGAAAAAATGTTCTACTTCCAAGACTTACTAGAAACTAGTGGGATAAGAGTAGATGGATTTATGGGATCCTATAATCCACCTGGAGGTTTTAAAGCTGTACAGTTTGCTATATGCACCATAGAAAAGGCTAATAGTTTAATAAATAGATTGTTAGGAGAAGAAAACTTGGAGAGTATTGGAGCTGTTCTTATAGATGAAATACACCTACTAGGGGATCCTAGTCGGGGATATCTTCTAGAACTACTTTTAACTAAATTACGGTAAGTAATTGTGTTGTTCATACACAGTACCTCACAAACTAGTTTTGATATTGGAAGCTATTTTAGTTATTGATCTTAGTCTTACATAGTTAGAGCTTAGAGTTAGTTTACTCTAATTTTATTAGTCTTCATGATACACTGAAGCAAAAATAATCTCAAGACAATAAAAGACAGCTATTCTGATTGTTTACCCTATTTATTTATTACTATTTTGATCAGAATATGTCAAAAATATTTATTTGTAATTAATATTTATTTCAAGATGTTTATCAATGTTTACTACATTATAAGACAAAGTGTCTTTTATCCAGATTGGTTCTTGATGTATTATTCTTGCTGATGTAGTGCCAAAACCATTAAATACAAGCATCTTCTGTCTGTAGAGCTGGATCCATGGCTTTATCTAAAGTTTTTTTCTGGTAAATTGTCACTTTAAAGACAAGTATAATGAATCTGATGATACATTGATCTGGCCAATTCTCAATATACCTATACCAGCTACCTGCCATTAGTATAAATATAACCTTTGTAGTACAATACAGCATCAGTTTCAGCGTACACTTCTCCGCAAATAACATCTCCAGAAGATGCCAATCCTAGTGTTAGCGAAACATTGAGAATTAATCTCAGAAGACACCAGCCTAACAGCCCTAACAAACAGTTTAACAAGTTAGATGATGACCGTAAAGGCCTAACACATTTTACCCTCTACATGTTTTTACATAAATTACTGATAAAAAACTCCACTGTCCAATTGTTATTTAAATGCTATAGTCTTAGTTTTAGTGTTCAAAATATTGACGAAGGACACTTTTTTCAATGAAATTGATGGTTTCTCATAGATATTTTTCAATTTGTAGATACATTTCTAAAAAAGATGACTTAAAAATCCAAATCATAGGCATGTCTGCTACTCTTCCTAATCTGCCTCAGATCGCTAAATGGTTGGATGCCGAATTATACACCACTGACTTCCGTCCAGTGCCTTTAAATGAGCAAGCTCATGTATGTGGAGAAATATACAACCCCATGATGAAGTTGGTTAGAACATTGAGTCAGCTGCCAGAATTGAAGACTGACTCTGACAATATTTTACAGCTTTGTCTTGAAACCATTAAGGAATCATGTTCTGTGTTGATATTTTGTCCTACGAAAAACTGGTGTGAGAATTTGGCACAGCAAATTGCAACTGGGTTTTATAAAATAGGTAAGAAGTAGAATGTTTTATTGCTAATGGATAATAAATTCAAATAAAGCATCTAATGTCAATCAATGTCACATAATTTTTAAACAGATGAGACGCTATCAAGATAGCTGAATATTGAGTAGCAATTTAATAGAAATTTGTTCAAAGGCAGCTCAAAATCTACCTGGGGAGATCTTTTACGAGCACAACTCGACACTAGTCTCATAATGGAACTATTAGAGCAACTCAAGTACTGCCCAGTTGGTTTAGACGTCATTTTGAACAAGACAGCATCTTTTGGCGTGGCATTTCACCACGCAGGTTTGACGATGGAGGAAAGGGACATCGTAGAAGGCGCTTTCAGAAACGGTGTTTTGAGAGTTCTAGTAGCAACATCAACCTTGTCATCGGGAGTGAATCTACCAGCTAGAAGGGTGATAATCAGGACGCCGATGTTCCATGGCAAACCATTAGGTATTGAAACTTAAACAATGCAAATACATTGTGTTATATAATATAAAAATTATTTTTAGACTCTCTGGTATACCGACAGATGATTGGCAGAGCTGGACGAATGGGCAAGGACTCTGTAGGCGAAAGCTTCCTCATATGTCAAAAGAACGACTACAAAATAGCCAAAGATTTAATGTCTGCTGACTTATCACCCGTTAGGAGTTGTTTAGAGAGTGCTGGAAAGTTAAAAAGGGCCATTTTGGAGGTGATAGCTAGCGGTGTAGCTTCGACACCAGAAGATATCCAGTTATTTACAGAAAGTACTCTGTTGGCTGTTGAAGATGAAGGTACGCAAGAATTGAGCAATCCTATTGATGAAGCTGTTGATTTTTTGCAAAGGAACGAGTTTGTCCGATTACAGCAAGAAGAGGATGGAGGTCAGAGATATGTGGCTTCTTCATTAGGTAAATATTCATACTTACATATTAAATCATTGAGGTGGTTGGTTTGTAGCTATTATAAATAAAATTTCAAAAGTTTAAATGTTGATGTTAACAGGTATTTAATTTTTTGGATTTTCTATTGAATTTTTATTATGAAAACGAAATTTTCGTCAGTGGCTCCTCTTCTCGGCTCGGCACTGGAGTAAACCTTCCTGTTCAGCTCCTTCTTTCGCGCATTGTATACCATATCCATTCTGCTAACTTCGATTACTTCTCCTCTACTTCTTGCCCTCGTAGCCTGTCTTCTGATGGCAATGCATTCTTTCCTCTTATTGGCGATCTCTTCTCACCACCAATAAGGCATCTTTCTTTTTTCATCTACCCCGTTTATGCAATTTCTCATAGTCTCTCTTATTATTGATTCAAGTCCTTCTGCCGATCGCAGTTGGCATCTTCTCCTCTCTATCAACCATCTAGAATACTCATCAAATGCTAGTCAGTCCGTTCTATCTCCACCTCTGCTTTCTGTTTGGCTCGCTGATGACTCCACGTTGGTAGTCCCTACTCCATTACATCCACATATCCCGTCGATATGCAAGTCTGGCTCTTGACATTATTATGTGATAGACATCAATTTCTAAATCCTAAAAATAATAAATCTGTTTCATAATAAATGTTACGCCTATGGCATATTGTTGCTTCAATAACTAATTGAAGGTTTTATCACTCTATTATGAAAAACAAACACTAGAAAAGTTTACATAGTTCCCATAAGGTGTTTATCAATGACTTTCTATCTCTCTGTATGACTATTCGACAAAATAATCGAAATATTACAGCGGCGTAGAGAAACGGGATATTTTGTTAATATAAATAGAAATATTTAAAAAGAACTGTACTGAAACTGATTGGTATTGTAGGAAAAGCATGTCTATCTTCTTCCATGTCCCCGGATGATGGATTATCTCTATTTATCGAGTTGGAAAAGGCTCGACAATGTATCGTACTCGAAACCGAATTGCATCTTATCTATCTCGTCACTCCGTACAGCGCTTGCTACTCTTGGGAAAACATAGACTGGATGCTGTACCTCACTATCTGGGAAAAATTACCCGCGAACATGAAGAAGGTAACTAAATCTTAAATTACATTTACAAATTATAACGCATACATTCGAATTGTTGTTAGGTTGGAGAGTTGGTTGGAATTCGTGAATCGTACATAGTAAACGCCACGAGGGGCAAAATTCTAACGAACACCGGCAAACTGTACCATCAGTTTTTGGTTCACAAGAGATTTTTCGTAGCGCTGGCCCTGCAGGATTTGGTGAACGAAAAGCCACTGAGTTGGGTGTGCCAAAAATTTAATTGTAACAGAGGTAAGTAGAGTATTTTGTTGATTTATTTGATCATAGTTTAATAAGCTTGTAACGATAATAGTTTGCCTACCTCAGGGTAAGATTATGGGGTATAAAATTGGGGACAGAACTAAGGGGTTGAGATGGAGCAAGCAAAATAATCGATACTTGTGCGTACGGCACTCAGGGTAAATTGGAGAGCTGGTCGTGATAAGTTGAATCAATGGTCGATTGAGGTAACTACAAAATGAAACAAAGGGGTACTTACATAAATCTCCTGGAACAAATGAACAAAATATGACAACAAGAAATACCTCTAGCTATTTCAATTAGGACGCAGCTTCGAGAAGACTTGTTCACTTTTCAAACATTATAAAATCTTCAGAAAACCGAAACAGTGGTCACTCTTTCAAATATGACATATTACATAGAGTGAAAACTCCACTATTTTTGGCGAATTAATGCCGGGTCACTTCATAACATTTAACAATCTCCGTCCAGTTCAAGCAACTCTTCAAACCTAACGTGAATTCCCTTCGATCTCAAAACCAAACGCCTATCCTTCCCCTTACGTCTTCTTCCGATACCAGTTCGTGCCACCGAACTCAAACAAAAACAAACCTCTTTGACTAACTCGCCAAATAACCTTGAAACATTTTCAGTTCGAATTAACACTTACGAATACATTTAACTTCTACGCCGAATTAAACCGAAATTTAACCTTGAAACATTCCTCATCTTGACTTCAGAAACGTAAAAAATGAACGCAATTTCTAACACATTTCTTTCTTGGGATTTTGAATGCGTACAAAGAGACAAAATTGTTTATATCAAGCTCAGGGCGTACTACAAAATTTTATACATAAATATTTTATAGTCAAAACAAATTTAAAACGCTACAAGCTAGGGTGTAATACTATAATTTACATAGGGGGAATGGTGGACGGACTGGGGTTTTGCTGGCAAAGAAGCACTTTTGAAAATGTCATATTTTGTTGGAGTTGATGTCTTAGTTGAAACGCGAGTACCTTGGAGCACCCAAGACTTAAATGATGCTTATGCGTGTTTCTTTTAAGGTATGCTTCAATCTTTACAACAATCTTCGTCCAGTTTTGCCGGAATGGTAACCTCTTTCAGCAAACAGTTGGGTTGGAATAGTATCGAACTCTTGCTTGCGCAGTTTCAAGAAAGGATGCAATTCGGTGTTAGCAGGTAAGTTTTGAAGCAATTTAATATTATCATATCTTTAATTTCAGTTCTGTACTTTTAATTTTTTTTCTCGACATCCTTCGTATTTTCTTTATTTTTTATTATTTTATTTAATTGCCTTTTATTATTTATTCTTTTTACTCTCTTTCATCCATTTAGTCGATGTATTATTCTGCTTTTCCATTAACTATTCTCCCTTGGATTTTCAAATGATAGACATGTTTACAAAATTTTTTCCTCTCTCAGCAGATTTTGTCAAATATGCCCATTCTGTAAGATGTTAGATAGTAACTGTTTATTCAATTCCCCTAGAGTATAGATATATATATATATATATATATATATATATATATATATATATATATATATATATATATATATATATATATATATATATCCGCTATTTGTCATATGCACTCTAGCACAGCCACCTTTACTTCCAAGCCATGAAGCAAAAAGGCAACACCGCATTCTATGACGTCGGTAGTCCGATAATCAGCTGTAAGGTCTACCAGAAAATTAAACTAATTTATTTAAATTTTAGGAAACTGATATTTTGAAAACTTATTCATTACAGAAATATTTTTAGAGAAAATTAAATTAATAAAACCTTATATATACCTAATAAATCTATATAAAGTTTTATTATTAAGGTTATATTATCAATAAAATAATCATTAGAGTAAAATTTATTGCACTTAAAATACAGTGTCAAACAGTTAATCTTACAATCAAATGCAGTCAAGAATCTCTAGAAATTTTAAATATTAAGTACTTAAGCATATAAATAACACAATACATTAACACGACATTTAAAAAGATTATTAAAAATACAAAAGATATAAAATTTGTTAAGCAAAAACTTAGTGTAACTATTATGATTAAAAAATTCATCCTAAGAAATCAAACACAATATGGTTCTAAATTAATCTAATTGAAAATTAAATATTTTACTATTTACTTATAACTTTTGTTGAATTTTATACTTAGGTATACGAAAGTAGCAATTTTATATATGAATAGGTTTTTTGTCATATAGACCAAGTTAAAAGAGGTATACATGAAAAATGTGTTGAATGTAACATACCATTTATAACTTGTATATCGATTTAAAATAGCCTATATTCTCAAAAGATTTTTGAATGTAATACTCAAATTTGTTATCACTTATTTAAAAAGCAGATCTAAATGAGAAAGTAAGTTCTCTAATTGTGACCATGTTGTTAATTTACTATATTGTAAAATCCATTTCAAATCATTACTACTTAATCTATCTTACCTACACTGATGATTACACTAAAATTACTGCTAACTATTACACTATATATTACACAAATATTATCACACTTGTGTCCCAACTGATTAATGTTTAATACATAGAAATATACACAGTCACTTGTAATTTTACTTGTCCAGTTTTTCGGGATTCCTTCTTTCTTTACTACGATGAACAGTTACATATGATGGTACTTCAGGAAATATATTAGGAACTGCATTGCCTTTTAATTTGGGAAATATTAACTTTTCAATGTGGACATCTCCATCTTTATCTTCTCATTGTTCAGTACGCTGAATATCATCTTTATGAAAATGTTTGGCACATACTACGGAAGATTTGGTAATTGTATAGCCTTCTCTATGAATAGTGCATAACCCAGTATACCTTCATTGTGGACCTTTGGGAAACGAAAACGTGCTTTCTGCCTGTTTCGTTTTTAAAGTACTGGCATAATTGGTTTTGCAACCAGGTACACAACAATGCCAGAGCATCTGTAACAAAAAAACAAAAGTATTATTATTGTTGTTTTTAGTTTACATATTTTGTAACAAGAAGTAAAAGTATTATTATTTTCAGTTTGTTTTGTAGGTTATATTTATATTATATTATACTTGCCTTTTAAATTGTCATTAAGAATCATCTAAAAGTTCTAAATTTAATGAAATTTCACTTACATTAATATTTTCTAATTGATTTAAACACAATTTACCAATAAAACATTCGAATAAAGTTAAAAAAACACTAAATTCAACAAACTTTACAAGCCTTCCTAAATGAAATGTTAAACAAAAACAAAACAAAAAACAAACCACGCTCGGACTACCACGCGTTGTTGCCAAATTTGTATTTCATGGCTTGGAAGTAAAGGTGGCTGTGACTCTAGACATGTAATATGTGTTGCATACACCTTACACATTCTTCTGTGGTATATCTATCTCTTTCGATGTCTCTCATTATTCTTATTTTTATAATTCCTTGAAATTTCAGAGATCTTATCGACCTGATGCACCTACCGTCCTCAACGGCAAAATGGCGAGAGCCCTGTACAACGCCGGTATCGAATCAGTTATCCAACTAGCTAATTCGGAAATATCCGCAATAGAAAACATTCTACATCGAGTAGCACCGTTTGAGAGTGAAAAAGAACGGGAAGGCGAATCAGAATACGAGAAAAGACAGAGGAACAAATATAAAAACGTGTGGATTGCTGGAAGAGAAGGCTTAACTGAAAGACAAGCGGCGGAAATTTTCGTAAGAGATGCTAGAAAATATCTGAAGATCGAACTAGGGCTGGTTGATGCTCAGTGGGAGAATGTAAAGGACGAAGGAGAAGAAGAAATTGAGAAAACTAACCAAAGCGATGATTGTACAGAACTTAAGGAAGAAGTAATTGTGAATTACGAAACAAATACAGCTCAAACAGAAGAAATGCAACAAAATAGCGATATTATAACATCAGAGGGCGCTAATCACAATACAAATAATAAAGTGGAAGATATACATAAAAACGATAGTGTTTTTTCAGACGATTCAGTAGTTCTTTCAAATAATATCAGCATTTCTGACGTTTCCAGTATTTCCAATGCAGATTCCACCATAATAGAAGATGTCGAAGAAAATAACGAGTGTATTGAAGAAAACAACGATTGTATCAAAGAAACGTCAAATAAACTTTCAGAAAAATTCAAAAATATCTCGTTGAACTCGCCAAAACGAAATTTTGAAAAGAAATTCTGTAAAAACAAAGGTAGGGATGACGACAGAGGAAACGATTATAAAGAAGGAACAAATTTGAATGAAAAATGCTTTAAAAATGAGGAAATAGTTGTAAATCGTAAAGAAGTTGAAAATAATGAAGCTGAAGCTACGAGTAGCGTTGAAGCTGAAACCAAAAGTAAATTTATTGCCGCAGCTAAACCTAGGACTAAAGAGGAAGCTGAGACTAACTTGGAAAGAGAAATTGAAGCAAAAGTTGAAGCTGTGACAAAGACTAAGGTTCCTAGTGCAATATCTACCGCTACTGTACGTAGAGATAAGACGACTTCACTTGAAATCGAATTTTCCACACCTTATACAAATAAACTTCAATCCCTTCCGACAGATACCCACAACACAGAAGTGCATTGTTTTCTGCGAGAAATTTCGCTGTCAGATTTTTCCGAAACGTTATCGGAAAACAGCAGCGGAACACAAGGTTCCAAAACTAGCATTCCCACATCTGATATAAATGATGCTATCTTGGAGATACCAGCTTCAGATGAAATAAACCATTCAAGTTCTTCAGGTATAAATGACTTGAGTCTATCTTTGGAGAAAAATGAATCGGACCAAAGTCTGTTCGATGATGAGAGCTTTACTTTACAATTGTCACAGCACGATTTGTCAGAAGATGATCCAACAAAATCTGATAGTTACCCTACACAAACTAATGCTTTACAAAAAGATGAATGTGCCTACCGAAACGGTTTAAGTGAAGTACTTGAATCAGATAATGATGACATTTTCGGTAAATCGATAGAAGAGGAAATACTGCTCTCTGCCAAAAAACGTAAGAACGATAGTGAAGAATATGGTGGAGGAATTAAGAAGCTGAAAACTAAATCAGTTAATATTTTAAGAAAAGATGCTGTACGAGGTAAGTTGATATATTTCTTAATTTCGGGTTCGATATTTTGTATTATTTATTGTGAAATTTTTCTTATACATCATGTATCCACGAGAAAAGGTAAAAATTTCTCAATTTAATGGACCGAAGGATAAGTTTCTTTATTTAAAAAATGTTTTTTAACGGCGCTTTTTTTGATACTTCTCCAATAATTCGAATATGTCATCAGTCATCATTTATCACCACAAATTCTGTATCTGCGAACAGAGGGTCACAATAATAAATCTATGTATTTGTGGAACCAAAATAGGCATTCCCGTAAATCGTCATAAGAAAATGTAAGATTGAACCTGGTCACTTGTGTATCACTGTGCGCGTTCCAGATAAATACTATTTTAAGTCTGCGCAGAGTTATTTTATCACGTAAATCGTCTGAAGAACATCTAAGATCGATTATAATCAGGTATGTATCACCGATCGAGTGCTTGATAGGTAAAATTTTTAATCTGCGCAGAGTTTTCTCTTCATGAAGATATCCAGAACAACTTAGAACAAATCTAGATTATTTTTGAATAAGACAACTCAGAACAAATATGGAACAACTTAGAACGGATCTAGAACAATGTATACGGCACCAAAGTAGGTATTTTGCCATTTAAATCGCCCTAAAAAAATCCAAGATCGATTCTGAACATTTGTGTATCACAGGGCAAGTTCTTGATAGGTAACATTTTAAATCTGCGCAGAGTTTCCTCTTCAGGTATACTTAGAACAAATCTAGGACAACTTCTAATAATACAGCCCAGAACAACTTAAAATATGTTACTTTGGAATAGACCTAGACCCTAGGACCACCATTTTCTTACATAAATATCCATAAATAAAGCTGAGGTTCATTCTGGTCGGCTGAGAACAGATCTAGAATATATGCATAAAACTAGCTTATATCCTTTCTATTCGCTAAATTCCGCACTCTATGACCGGCGATATATTCCTACGCGACCATGATGGTTCATTATTACTCAAATCGACCAACAGTCTAGAACAACTTTAGAATTAAAGCTTAAAACTTATTTATAACAGATTAGAGAAGCTTTAGAAAATCCCACAAAAGGTCTAGCACAATTTAGAATTGATTAAGAAGATATTATAGCAGCTTTAGAAAAGCCAGCAAAAGGTACAAAACATCTTATAAGGGATCTTTAACAGTTTATAGTAGCTTCTGTTTTAGAACCAGTCTAGAAGTTAAGAGTATGTCTAGATATGTTCTAAATATGTTAAGAATGAATTAACTTTCAGATAACACTTAAAACAGACTTATAATAGCTTATAACTGATTAGAAACTGATCTAGACTAAGATCTAGATCAACTTATAATAGTTTTCTAAAAACAAAAAGAGAAATCATACGATTTCTACCTGGCAAAATCGAATTCAAATATAAGCCGCCGTGCTCCCTAAAACTTGCGAAGCAAACAGCTTGATGAATAAATCGGCAAGGGAGTCTAAAAATTGCACTCCAAATGCCGTTCATCATGGCCTATATTCGTAGTGAATTCGATTTCTGGTACTCCAAATGAAGTAAATAAACAAAACAAAATGACGGTATTAGATTTTGATTTGATACAGAGCAGCAACAAGCCGCATATACGTATTTCGATCTCTTTAGATCTCCTCAGTACGGTATAGTTACTACTCCATATTAAACCAAAATATTTTCCCGTCGTAGATTGGAGTACCAGAAATCGAATTCACTACGAATATAGGCCATGATGAACGGCATTTGGAGTACAATTTTTAGACTCCCTTGCCGATTCATTCATCAAGCTGTTTGCTTCGCAAGTTTTAGGGAGCACGGCGGCTTATATTTGAATTCGATTTCGCCAGTTTCTGTTCATAAACTGCCGAATCTAGCGAATAAATATTAAGGATGTCTGGCATATATGTCATACCTAGAATGCCTTAATTGCTCCATTACCAAAGAGTATTTTTGTGTACATAGGAATTTTTATACAAACTAGGCCTCTTTCAAGCATTTTCCCCAATTTTTTTCATCTAGTTGGCCAAGAAAATGTACATAGCAAATTAATTCAATTACATTGCAAATAAATAAAAGTTAAATTAATTTTATGGCTTTTTGGCAGGTATAAAATTAAAAAAACTCGTTTGAAATCCCAAAAAACTTTGCCTTTACGTTTTTAGCGTATGAAATTCCTTTGGTTATCTTTGATGAAGGGATACTAGCTTCTGCCATTGCTTAGATTGTTGTTTCTATTCAGCAACTCGTTAGTAGTAGTAACAATTTGGATAAATTCTTTTTGAAATGGAAAAACATTACTGACAATGTCGATTTTACAGTTGTTCGTGAGTTTTTTGTTTAAAATGTAACATATTTTGTTTGGGTTAACTGCAGCCTTAGTTAATCTCATATACCATAATCTTAGATCACATCGAAACTTATTGTGCATATAAAATAACACCAGATTTTTCCTCAGCTGAAATTTAATGCTTATACATTAATGCTAGGATGTTTTAACTCTGTTTTTATCAACACAGTGGGGGATTCGTAGCATCTTAGTAGGCTTACCTTTACTATTTACTGTGCCATTCATTTTACGATTTGTAATATATTTTCACAATGTTCTCTTCACTCCCCCACTACCTTTTCTACTTCATTACCCTCGCAGTCATACCACTCACGACTTCAATATTTCTCGCTAAGAAGCATCAGTTTATCCAGGACCTTCGCTGTGAGTTGCAGTTATCTATGCCTAATCCACAGTCATGTTTTCTCCCATACAGCTCTCTTATACAAACAGTGTATGATCCACAATATCTTTATACTCTTGTTGACAAAGCACACTCATTAAGTTCCTTGTCACACTCCTTGTCTATCCGTTTTAGGTGAGAGCCGACTCAGTAACACCTGAGTCATATGAGAGTTTATTTCCCTCTCTTTTCAGTTCATCTCCTTTGACATGAGTGTCCACCACTCTTGTCTTCTTTATTTTCAATTGTCAGCGCATCTCAAAAGCCTCCATCGATGCCTGGAACATAGCATGCACAATACGCACATTCATCATCTGCTTCAGGTAGGGTAGGCCTCAGTAGGTCTAGAAACTTTAATTATTTTAGTGATGATAACTTTAGCATGATTTCGATTAATATTCAGTCTATAAGATATAAAACAGATGAATTATTTTTGTTTCTAGAGGAATTATGATCGAATTCTATTTAGGCACATACGCCATTATACCATACTAATCAACTCACTGCATTCGATCTAATCCTTTATCAGTCACTTAATCGCTATTTATACTAACTTTCCTTTGTTTATAACACAATCATATAAAGAATTCTTTTTAATGCACACTTCATTTGATTCTAGACAAAGACATAAGACCTTCGTACTTTACCGACGAATTAAAAAAAGAAGACACTTGTGCGGATCTGAGTAAATTGAAAATCCTTGACGTTTGTCAAGAATTAACCGGTTTGGAAAGTTTCATTGCAGAACTTAAAGAAAAAGATTGTTTTGCCTTTTCGATAGCTTGTAGTAGAATGACAGAAAATAAACCTGTCATTGGAATGAACGCAATGAAAACGGAGAGGTAAGTTATTTTTATTTTCAGTGATTGGTCGTTCATGAAAAGATTACGGCCGATGATTTTTTTAAGTTCTTTTTTCCTTATCTAGCTGGGTTTCTCTAATGTGTTTCTGGATTATTTTGATTTTCTCAGCCTGTCTTGAGGCATTCTTGTTATTTCTTCATCTTTTAAATAATTGGTGGATTCGACCGTTACTTGATGGAAATTCATTTTATGTAACAATAAAACACTGAAAACTTTGTTTTCAAACTTCCACAAAATTTATTTTAAATCTTATCACTACAGCTGTTTCGGCTGATTGCCTTTCTCAAGTGATCTATTTTTGGCTTGGGTTTACAAATTTATAGTCTCTAATGAAATAGGTTGAGGAGGGGAGAACTGTTTGTCTCAAGTTGGTCACTCAGAATTATATCTGTGTTTTTTAATTTGTTGATTTCTATAGATTCTAACAAAGATAGCTTAAGGCCTTTATTTTGAATGTGAAGAATTTTAAATTTGTCATTAAAAGAATGATTATGATCTAGAAGGTGAAGTGCGTATGTCGAATCTGTTGTTCTATTCTTGAAAGCCCTTTTATGTTCTGCTATTCGTTTATCAAAGTTTCTACCAGTTTGACCGATGTAATTTTTAGGGCAGTCGCCACATTGAAGTTTGTACACACCACTATTTAAGTGTTTTTTATTTTGGCTCTTGTTATTTTTAATATTGCCTAGGTTGTTATTTGTTCGGAGTGTTATTCCTTTCTTTTTTATGTGTTTGGCAATTTTTGTTGTTATTTTGCCTGTATATGTAATCGAGCAGAAGGTATTGGGTTTTTTCTCTGGTGGTGGAAATACTAATTTCAGGGCTTTCTTGTGTAGTTTTTGATTTAACATTTTATTAATTGTTTGTTCGTTGTATCCGTTGTTTACTGCTATTTGCTTAATTATATTTAATTCTGTCTCAAAGTTGTATTTTGACATCAGAATTTCTGTTAATCTATGTAACATACTATGATAAGCTGCCAGTTTATGTTGTGTTGGATGGGATGATGAATTGTGTATAGTCGTGTCAGTATGGGTAGGTTTATGAAATATGGAGAAGTCATGTTTGTTTTGAAGTCTGCTAATTTTTAAATCTAAATCAATCCATAAATTTTTTAGATTTAAAAATTAGCAGACTTCAAAACAAACATGACTTCTCCATATTTCATAAACCTACCCATACTGACACGACTATACACAATTCATTGCCAACAAAAATTGCCAAACACATAAAAAAGAAAGGAATAACACCAGCTTTCCGAACAAATAACAACCTAGGCAAATATATTAAAAATAACAAGAGCCAAAATAAAAAACACTTAAATAGTGGTGTGTACAAACTTCAATGTGGCGACTGCCCAAAAACTTACATCGGTCAAACTGGTAGAAACTTTGATAAACGAATAGCAGAACATAAAAGGGCTTTCAAGAATAGAAAAACAGATTCGACATACGCACTTCACCTTCTAGATCATAATCATTCTTTTAATGACAAATTTAAAATTCTTCACATTCAAAATAAAGGCCTTAAGCTATCTTTGTTAGAATCTATGGAAATCAACAAATTAAAAAACACAGATATAATTCTGAATGACCAACTTGAGACAAACAGTTCTCCCCTCCTCAACCTATTTCATTAGAGACTATAAATTTGTAAACCTAAGCCAAAAATGGATCACTTGAGAAAGGCAATCAGCCGAAACAGCTGTAGTGATAAGATTTAAAATAAATTTTGTGGAAGTTTGAAAACAAAGTTTTCAGTGTTTTATTGTTACATCTTCATCTTTTGCTGTGTTTTTTGCAAACGCTTTTATATTCATCTTTTTGAGTTTTTTTTATCTCTTTTTTGTGGGTTTATTCCCAACATTCATTTGTTCATAGTTGTATACTTCGTTACACTCTTCAATGATCATTTTTTTTTGTTATAGTACTGTCGAACTAATCTTCTTCTTCAGCCTTCATGTATCCATTCTTGGACATAGGCCTCCTCCAATTGCTTCCACGGTTCCCTATCTTTTGCAGTTGTCATCCACTGCTTTCCAGTGACAGCTGTTATATCGTGTATCCATCTCTTTTTGGATCTTCTCACGCTTCTTTTTGTTTCTTGAGGTCTCCAGAATGTCACTTTATCAGACCATCTGTTGGTGTCTTGTCTTGCTACATGTGCTACCCATTGCCATCTCAATGTCGTTATTTTTCCCATGATGTCGATTACTTTAGTTCTTCGACGTATTTCGGTGTTAGGGATTTTTTCTCTGAGGCTTATATTCAACATGGCCCTCTCCATGGCCCGTTGAGTTACTCTTAATTGTTCAGCCATTTTTCTTGTTATTACCATAGTTTCCAATCCATAAGTTGCAACTGGTAGTACACAAGTGTCATAGGTTTTTCGTTTTGTGTATTGGAATTTTTCTGTCTTTTAAAATGAAGTTCAACTTACCAAAAGCAGCCCATGACAATTGTGTCCTTTTAATTTCTGGGGTTTGATTTTCCTTTTCGTTTTTAATTGCATGTCATATATATATATTATATATATATATATATATATATTATAGATAAATATATTTGATTTAAAATATAATTTAACAGAAAAATATTTAGACATCTAAGAATATTACAGTAGATATTGCTCAACTGTCCCGTGTCTGCCTTGTAATTTACTGCATAGTTTTCTCTATTTATATGACACATTCCAAAACAATCTTTTTGTAATTATTTTCTTGCTGTAAAACCCTGACTTTGAGTAATCAATTGATGCAGTTTTTAAGTGATGTCAACTCGCACATGTGTTCTTCCGTTTTTGTTGTGACTCTTTGTTTGTGTTATATTTTTACATTTAATTACTAGTGACTAGGTACTTTTAACAAAAACTGTCAGTACTGTTTTGAACAAATTATGTTCAACTTGTTTAAATACTTTCCACTCTAAATCTGTAAGTGAGTCACTTTTATTCAAACTGATTTTTATATAACTTTTATTCAAATTTTTAGTTGTCTCCTGATGAAGCTGACAAAAAATCAGCGAAATATAGAGGATTAAAAGAAAAAGAGTTCTTTTTTAATAATAACAGACCGCATACCCGATATTCCAACACAATAAATTGTTATATATATATATATATAAATATATATATATATATATATATATATATATAATATATATTTTATATGTTCTACCTTTTCTATATTGATGTTATCTATCGTGATGTTTTCTGGGCTGTTGCTTATTATCATTATTTTCTTGAGATTCATTTTTAATCCTATTTGATTATGCTATTATTCTATTTGAAGCCCACTTCTCGATACTGTTGAATGCTTTGTGATAATCGACAAATGCAAGATGTAGTGGTATGTTGTACTCTATTGTTTTTTTCGATAACTGTCCGGATGTTTTGCAAGTTATCGATAGTGCTAAAAGTTAGTGATGATACACATTAATAATTACGAATATATGATACTAACAATTAACATTTTATTTTAAAATTATCCAGCTCAGTGGACCAAAAACAAGCCTTCTTTAATGGTAGTCGAAAATTGGAAGGCTTCTCATTTTGTTGGGACGACAACATAACCCATTACGTGAGCCTCGAGAATATTAAGCTCCATCAGAAAATTATTAAACTACTGAAACAAATTTTCGGCAAAACGTCAACTACGGTGTGCATGGTCGATTCAAAAGAGCAGATCAAGTTACTGAAGAAAAGTTGCGACGTGAACTTCGCCTGTCAAGTAGAAGATCCCAAAATTGCCGATTGGATTTTGGATCCGGAAGGAAGGGAAAAATCTTTGAAGGCATTGGTAAGTTTTTGATTATATCTGTTTATAAAAAATTTTATAAACTGTTTAGAAAAAATTATCCTATAAGGGTTGGTCTCACAAATTTTTCTCTCTGCAACAGTGTCAAGGTTGTAAGCCATCTCGCCTTTCACAACGATGTTTCTCAATTTAGTTTTCCGAAGAACTATTCGTCGGCAGGTGGAAATTTTGAAATGAAGTTGAGCCGCTATTTGTCATAAAACTTCTTTCCAGTCTAACGGTACCCAATCCCTTCCAATATACTTAATCGTACCATATTTCTTAAAAATTTTATGATATTGTTCTTTTGTCACAATTGTGTTAATTTTTTTAATGTTTTCTCTATCATCCCAAATAATCTTTATGCAGGAAGGAATGAGTGCCCTGTTACAGGAAAGACTGTTTCAATTTTTCGTATTCTTATTGGAGCACAGCTATCCAGAAATTTGCAGTACATAGTTAAAATATTTATATTCTTGTTTTGTCCAGCGCAACCATCAGACACCAAACGAATGGAGTCATATCCTCAGAGATCAGCTGATCTCAATTCATTGAATACAATGGAAGCAACCTCGTTGGATGATTTTTTTGTTTCGTCTTCCATCCAGGTATAAATTGAGACAGTATTGGGATTCAGGGATGCATTTGACAATCCTTTAACTACTGCAAGGATAACAGTAAAACTGTCATGAATAGTATGTACTTTGATCAGTTCTCCTTCTTCTTGATGTGCCTATCCGTTACGAATGTTAGCGATCATCATGGCAATCTTTATCTTATCTTCTGATAGATAAATATGTTCTTCTTCTTCCTGGATCTCGTTTTCCAAATATTTTTCCTTGCAGGATGACTTGAAAGAGAGTATATCTGGATTCATTTCGCATAATATATCCGAATAACTGTAACTTTCGAGATTTGATGGTGATCCAGTTTTCTGCACATATCTTCGTTCAAGGTCCACGATTCAACACCATAAAAAAGGACAGAAAAGACGTAGCATCGCAGCATTCTTACTTTTGTATCAAGAGAGAGGTTATGACTCTTAAAGAAGGCCCCCATTCGATTGGATGTGGATTTTCCGATGCGTACTCTAATCTCCTGGTTGTTGGTCCGTTCTTCATTTATTATTGTTATTGTTGTCGTTTTTCTTGCAGGTGTTGGAAGAAGGCTTATGCCTGTTCCTTGTGTAACTCCATTTTCATTTTTAGACACCTTTTTCTTCCTCCGTTTTTTGCACTTGGATAAGGTTTTGTAATTCAAGGCAAGTACTACATTCACCCATGCTAGGGTAAGTGAATCCAATATTGAAATCTTAGAAAAATATTTTCCTGAACAATCCCTGAGTAACCTTCTCAGATTCTTCTTTACCATGATTGAACATTTTCCACATTTTGGCGATATTCAGGTCTGATGGTAGGTAGACATGTAATGAGTGATGTCGTGAATAATGCAATTCAATAGCTTAAAAACTACAAATGAACTTTTTTAGTTCTTCTCTTTTTGGAGCAAACTTACCTTCCTTGTGGTTTCCACTGGAACATGAGATACACCGTTATTGAATTTTTGGAACACTCCTATAATTCTATGCTTAGTAATAGGCTACAACCCCTTGAGAAAAGCATGCTTGCAAAGGTTGAGATTGTTGCCAGCGTGGTTTTCAACCGAATATTGGAAGATTGTGGTTTTGCTCTTTATAGGCTCAAGCTTCTTTCTTTTGGGGTTGGGTAGGCCAACCCAACAACAGGCTATCAGCAAGCTCAAATATAACAAAGCACCAGGTCCAGATATGATAACAGCAGAAATGCTTAAAGCCACAGAAGAAACCGGCGTAAAGTTACTTCATCTACTCTGTAACCAAATATGGCATTCCAAACAATGGCCTGAAGACTGGACAAAATCTACAATAACGACCATACATAAAAAAGGCAGCTTCCATAAATGCAACAATTATAGAACTATCTCTCTTATATCCCATGCCAGCAAGATAATGCTACATATAATCAATGAGAGACTGAAAACATTCCTTCAAAGAGAAATTCCACAAGAGCAAACTGGATTTACCAAAGGTAGAGGCACTCGAGAACACCTGCTGAATATAAGGCAGATAATCGAGAAATCTAGGGAATTCAGCATCCCACTATACATCTGTTTTGTAGATTACCGTAAAGCGTTCGACAGGGTCAAGTGGAGACACTTATGGCGAATACTAAAAGAAGTAGGCGTACCACAACATCTAATTACGCTTATAACCGAACTATATGAACACACTACTGGATCAGTTAAAGTACTTGACACACTTTCGAACGAATTTCATCCAGAACGGGGTGTCAGACAAGGATGTATACTATCTCCACAATTATTCAACATATATGGAGAGTATATTATGCGAAGAGCACTTGAAGGATGGGAAAAGGGCATCTCAATAAATGGTCATAAACTAAACAACCTACGTTTCGCAGATGACACAGCCCTTCTTGCAAATAGTCAAGCAGAGCTGATAGAACTTATACGACTGATCGAAAACGAAAGTCAAATATTTGGTCTGCAATTAAACATATCAAAGACAAAGATCATGATAGTGGATAGACTACACAACAATCATCCACACATAACCACAATTGACCGGTTCGAGGTTGTGAGCTCATACTTATATCTGGGATCATTAATCACAAACACAGGGTCATTACAAGAAGAGATTAAACGTAGATGTGATCTAGCAAAAGTTGCCACAGCAAAAATGACAAAAATATGGAAGGACTGTCAAATTTCAAGAGCGATAAAGATGAGGTTGATCAACTGCTTAATATTCCCAATACTGACCTACGGATGTGAATCTTGGACTCTGAGACAATCGGAGAGAAGAAAGATAGACGCCACTGAAATGTTCTGTTGGAGACGAATGTTACGAATTCCTTGGACCGACCGTAGAACAAATAATTCAATTTTAAGAGAGCTAAAAGTTAGCCAACGACTCTCTAGTAAAGTCCATCTCCAACAATTAAAATATTTTGGGCATGTTATGAGAGCAAACACAGAAAACATGGAAAGACTCATAATACAAGGAAAGGTAGAAGGCCGAAGATCACGAGGAAGATCCCCAACAAGATGGATAGATCAAATTACAGGAATATGCCAAAGACCTATGCATGAATTAAAAGAAATGACCAGAGACAGAGATCTCTGGAGACGGACAATACACGACACCACGTCGACCACTACACTCCCCCTGGGGGCCAGGATTGAAGAGAGAGAGGCCAACCCGACAGTATTTGCACAATTTTCAGTGGCAATAAAGCATATTTCTATTCTATTTTATTCCATTGCCTGCCAGCTCGTACGCGTGTAGCTTTACTTGAATATCTGATAAAAATGTGTTGTTTTTCAGACCATAAAATATTGTCCAGAAATGGTGGAGCTCTTAAACTTCTCCGAAGGCTCTAAAGGCGTAGGAAGCTTAGGTTTAGACCTCTACAGTTCAGTTCCCGCCAAAACTAGATCCTCATTAGAGTCTGTCATAACTTGGCAGGTTAACATTACATTAAAAAATGGTTTATTGGTGGAACATTTAAAATATTTGGATGCTTATGGTGAGTAGGGATTCTCGTCGTTCCTATTGAATAATTAATTCATAAATAAACGTTTTGTTGTAGATTTGGAGACAAATATAATCCCATGTTTGGCAAAAATAGAACTAGACGGTATACGCGTCAATAAAAATGCGTTAACGTCTTTATTAAATACCGTAAAATGTCAAATTAGCAACACAGAGAAAAAGGCGTACGCTTTAGCGGGCAGAAAATTTAATTTTTTATCGTCGGCAGATGTTGCAAAGGTTCTAGGTAAGCAATTATAAATTCTGTTCTATTATTTGTACTCTGCTGCATTCAATATTAGCTATATAGTGTACTTTCTATTTTCCATACCTGTTTGCGTTTTGGTCTGAGCCTGATGAAGAAATTTCCCCAGATCTCCTGATAAATCGCTATCTCTATTGGTTATTATTCTTTATTCATCCTTCTCAGAACCTCTTTGTGACGTGTTCTGTCCACGATATTTTCAGAATTCTTCTACACACCCACAGCTCGAATGATTCCAGTCCAAGGTCCAAGATTCCATTCCATAAAACAAAGTCGAAAAAACATAGCACCTCCCCAACCTAACTCTTAGTTTCAATTTTAAATCTCTTCTATCTGAGGAGACAAAAAAACCTTGACCCTGTCTCTAAAGCCACGAATCGCCACTGCAGGCCAATATTTTTTCTCTAGATCTTGGGAAAATATTCCATGAAGGTGTGGAAAATATCGAACTTAGTAGTGAAGTTCGTTTCGGTTCGTAAATGCCCCTTTGTCCGCTTCTCGTCGATCGATGATGATAGGGTTAATAAATGTTGAAGTTGTGGAGTAAAAGTGATGATTTATTGACAGCAACTCGTAATTACACAATATGGTGTTCGTTCGGTAACTACTCAATATTGACTGTGTTCATTTGAACTCAAATCCCCAATTTATAATCTCACACATAATAGATACATAAGCACCTTAGGTCATTGCTTCGTTCATATCACACCACCTAACTTTTGCTTATAATACAATTTAATCTACGCCTTAATTGCGACACTTAGGAAGTTCAATTAGAAAATATTATTATTCGGCAATTTATTTAGTTGTAGGTAAATGAACTAATTATTAAATTATCATACGATATGGTTTTGCAATATATATAATGCAAACTTATACACGGTGAAACTATAAAAGATTAAGAAGTTAAGAATAATGTGAGATTACAAATTAAGGGGTTAATTTGTGATTGAACAGGTGTATTCTTCTTATATATGTCATTTCTATTAATTATATCTCCTAATTTTTTCCTTGAAAATGTATTTTCTCTGTTTTACTAAATTATATTCTACATCTTTTCAAAACTGGATTTGATATCCACAGAAGCTCTGAAATTATTTAGGGATGTCTTGTTTATTATTATGTTTGCTTTCAGGTATGTTCCGAGGCAAGAAAACTAGCACCAGAAAGCAAGTTCTCGAAAAGAACCAACACCCAATATCAGATCTGGTCCTGCAATGGCGAAAACTGCACTCGGTGCTCACGAAAACCATTTACCCGCTAATACCAGCGGTGCAAAACGATCGTATACACGGCCGTTACATAACGCACACCGCCACAGGCCGAATCACCATGCACGAACCTAATCTTCAAAATATACCCAAGGACTTCCAAGTGGTTAATCCGCTAACCAAAGAAAACGTTGATATCAGTTGCAGGAAAGCATTCGATGCTCCCGTAGATTATATGTTGTTGTCCGCAGATTATTGTCAACTGGAGTTAAGGCTTCTTACTCATTTTTCACAGGATAAGTTGTTGTGCAAAATCATGGGAGAGCCTGGGGATGTATTTAGGACTGTAGCTGCTAAATGGAACAAGATAACTGAAGAAGAGGTCAGTACAAAGCAAAATTTCGTTTACTGTAATTTGTGGCAATATAAAAAAAAGGTATTTTAGGTTACAGAATCCACTAGACAACACGCCAAACACATTTGCTACGGCATAATCTACGGAATGGGAAATAGAACTCTAGCAGAACAGCTAAATATGGACGAAGATGACGCAGCTGAGTTCATGGAAACGTTTAGAAACACTTATCCTGGAATAAAAACTTTCATCCACAATACAATAGAAAATTGTAAAGTTACGGGATATGTGGAAACTATAAATGGCAGAAGAAGATTTCTACCTAATATAAATGAAAATGACTCGACTAAAAGAGGTAATATTGTGCTTTGTATATTCCAGGATATCGTAAAAATCATTTTGTATTTGGTGGGAACGATTTATTAACTACAACAGCGAATTCCATTAATCGTTGGTGTAAGTTGGTTGAATGTACTGTACATCGAAACAGTGCATCAAGTTGCCACCAAAGAGAAAACAATGTTTTGCCGGTTGTGTTCCGGTAAACGTTTCCTAAATGATCTTTATATTTGTCCGATGTAAATTTCTATAAATTTAAATTCTAACAATCTTAGTTAAAATTTTCTGTTTTTAAATGTTTTTGTTGTAATAATCATAGGTCATGCCGAACGCCAAGCTGTAAATACCACGATCCAAGGCTCGGCAGCAGACATAGTGAAGAAAGCGATGTTAAAAATTGAACACAACTTACAAGAAATGTTCCACAAGGCGAAAAACAAACCAAAAATGGTACTGCATCTTCACGACGAACTGATCTACGAAGTCCCGACCAAATATCTACGAAAAGTTGCCAAAGTTGTCAAAAAAAATATGGAAAAGTCAGTCGAGCTGTCAGTTCCGTTTCCTGTGAAGTTAAAAAGCGGAGTTTGTTGGGGAAACATGTCCGAAATAGTTTTATAGTTAAATATTTAATCTTTTAGTTTAAATTTTATTTGGCACGTGTCATTTTTATATAAAAAATACTTTTTATCATTTAATTATTGTGATATACTATGAGTAGGCTCTTTATATGTTTAAACTTATACTTTTTCAATATTTTTTTTATATATTATATAATCTTTTTATTAATTTTGTTGTTGTGAGTGTTCTATTAAGGCTAAAGGTAGGTTTACACTATATGGTGACTTGAATAGTAGACTGTACGTGCGTGCGCAGCACACTTACTTTATTTTCATGTATTGCATTATAGCAAGATGCCATTAGATAAAAAATAGGCGATATGAGGTTCCTCGTTTGATGAAAATCATTGTTCGTGCATGCGTTTGTTTATGTGAGGACTGCCAAAATTCATAGGGAGCTAAATCTGGTGCATAAGGTGGATTTTGTAAGAATTTGTATTTTAATTTAGCGACTTTAACGATAGTTTTTTAGTTGTGTAAGGAAGTATGTTTTCTTCATAAGAAATTATCTTTTATTCTTTTTCTTGCGAATTTTTACATCCAGCTGATCCAAAACTTTCCAATAATAATCTAATGTTATTGTTTCGCCTATTCGATCGTAGTCCACGAGCAAAATTTCTTTTGAATGCCAAAAACTGATGGATATTTTTGTTATCCTTTCTGAAATGCTCCAAATATTGAATTTTTAAGTTGTGAGAGCAAATGATTTGCCTTACCTGACACCATGTGACTTAAATAATCAAAGTCAAAATTGAGGAAAACGAAGTTTGTTTTTGAAGTTTTTATTAAAAATGCTTTAATTGAACTGAATATGAACACCACGTGATTAATACACAGTATGGCATCTGTTTCTACAGATTCTTTTTACTCTTTTAATATAATCTAGATTCTTTATATATTGTGATAAATAAATATACGAGAAGTGGTTACAAAATAGTGAGGTTATTGTATCGTAGCGCCATTAGAAGAAGAAGAAATTAACTATTTTCACGATTAATTAAATAATGTACTTAATAAACAAAAGTTATGAGGGAAAAGGGTGCATAATATTTTAAGAACACCACAAAAAGACCGCCAAAATGGTTCTACTGGTAAAAATTGTAAAATTACTCACCTCATTTGCCTTACCTGACACCATGTGACTTTTATCTGCTCCCAAAGTTTAAATCTACGTAAAAAAACGGAAGAGAGACGCATATTAAATAAAATAATAACTAAATAAATGCAAACACACAATAAAATGTTTTAGAGAGTTCATCAAATTATTTTGTAGCCACCCCTCGTATGTGTTGCTATTTTTAGATGTACATTACTGTATTTTTTTAAACTATTTATTCACTATTTCTGTAATATAAGTTTTTTACGTGTTTTAAATTATTTTTTCGCAAAATTGTCTTATCATAATGATAATAAACACTACTACATTCGTCACTACATCTCTTCATCATCATCGGCTGCTTCTGCGCTGATTTCTCCATTGGTAGTGGAAGAAACCTCGTTAGCTGTATTATCCGCTTCCTTTCGCTGCTCTTTTTGAAGCTGACTAAGGTAAGATTCTTGTAATAGTTTTATTTCTGCTTGAAGATCGCCGTATTTCTTTTGCAAGCCTCGTTCTCGTTCGGTTTGTCGGCTGACGTCTTCAGTGAGAGACTGTGAACAAGAAAAGGATAATAAAACAATTTTATATAAAGTATCCTTGATTTTAATATACTAAATTGCCTGAATAACTTCTTTAAGCAACGAGAAAATTTCGACGTAGAAGAATAAATCACTGGGTGTCAAATCATGTCTAACTGGTGGCTGGACTATAGCAATCTAAAGATGCAAGTACAAGCTAACACTTACCTGTATTCTTCTTGGTAAAGCAGATTTTTCTTGTTCTTGCAAAAACTTAAACGTATTCAATTCTAAATTAGTCGAATCTAGATTCTCATAACAATCTTGTAACTGTTTGATCAACGCCTGCGCTCTGGACTGGTACCCGCCTGTTAAAATCTTCAATTTTTTCTCCATTTTGGCAGCTCGTTTGGCTTCTTTCGCCATGTGAGATCTGTTCTGCTCGAGCCTCTTCTCCGCCGATTCCAATCTGTCTTTTTTACTGGCTAAATTCGCTCGAGTGTATCTCGTTTGGTTCGGGAGGAACAGAACTTGGCTTAAGCATTCTTCCCACACCTGTAAATTTTTTGTAGTAAATTTACAGAGTTTCATAATGAAAAAACTTACGGATAACATTCTATCAAGTCTAAATTAACGTACCTGAGTGTAAACTTCGATAGGCAACTCCCCGTGATTCATACCAGTCCTAACTACCTCCATTTCCCTCTTCAATATCCCCTTGGCCGTCTCTAAATCTTCTTTCCTGAACGACTCATACGGATGCTGTTCCAAAAACGCCAATTGATGTGCCTGCGACATGTTGGATCTCTTACTCTGCGTCGGGACCGGATTTTTAAGGTTGTCGAAATGTAACATGGTCACCATCTCGCGTTTGATCAGTTCTTCGGCTCGCTGCAGATCGGATAAGGAATAGCTCTCGTGGGACGGTCGAAGAACGGTCATGTTCACTTCTTGAGGTCTTGGTAAATCACGTTGGATGACTTGAGAACGAAGCGCTAGTTCCCTGGCGGCTTTAGCTTTTAGCTCTTCTTGTTTTCGCGCGTCTACATCAGCTTGATCTTCGATCTAAAAAGGTACGATAAAAATACGATAAAAGAACAACTACTACTACTCAATAGATGGAAAAACATAACACGATGGGTATAATGGAAGGCTCGACAGATTCGAACGTAGTTATAAGGATCGAATCGCTTTGTAATGCTCCTTTGTCCGCGTCTTCTCGATCGACGATGTTAAATACAAAAAAATGTTGAAGTTGTGGAGTAAAAATTATAATTTTATTGACAGCTACTACTAATTACACTATAGACGTTGGTTAGGTAACTATCTATAATAGACTGCCTTCAAATGAGCTCAAATCCCCAATTTATAATCTCACAAATAATGTATACCTCAGCACAGAGGTTATTGCTTCTATCAGACTAACAAACTTTGAACTATGAGCTTACAATACAATTTAATCTAGGCCGTAATTGCAACACTTAGGAAGTTCAATTGGAAAATATATTATTCGGCAATTTATTCAGTTGTAGGTAAATGAACTAATTATTAAAATATTACACGATATGTTTTCACAATGTTTCAATTATACACGGTGAAACAACAAAAGATTAAAAAGTTATGATTAATGTAACATTACAAATTAAGGGGTTAATTTGTGATTGAACAAGGCAGTGAGTGTGAACTGAAAGATTTAATGTATATTGAACAGATAAAATGAAGCGAAAATACGGACAGCACGTTAGAAAAATGAGGATCCGTATGGGATTGAATACCGTTAATACCGAAAAGAAACATCCAAATCCATAAACAAGAACTAGAAATACTTAAACAGTTCCTTCCCCTTCAAATGGCGGCCTATTTTGAGGACCATATTTTGAAGCTTTGTGGACGATGGCGTTGATGAAATCTTTTTCGAATTTGGCACATCAAAACTTAGAAGTATGTTCTTTCAAATGACGCTAATTAGATCTCTTAATTGTTATAAAAAAGCTGTGAATGCTGTGAACTAAAAAAAAACTGACCTACTTCGTCCCAAATTGTCATAGGACAACTTTTTCTTTTTTTAAATTTGGGAAAAATTAAAAGCTTTCCAAATACCTACAGGCAATGGTGAAAAAGTTATTCTAATTGTTTATAGGAAAAAATCTACACAATTTTACAATATTTAAAATTGGTTTTCTTAATTTTTTTTTAATAATATTGATATAATCAATATTCTTCTTTCATAACCTACCTATAGAATTACTGTAGCTTCATTATTTTCTGACTTATATTGTAGCAAAATAAAAATTAATATGGGATAAACAAATAAAAGAACTTTTAAACTATTTGACCGGTTTATTTATAAAAAGTCAGTCTTAGCCTCAGTATTGGGCGCAAAATTTTGGAATTCCCAACACAAGTTAGTATATGAACCTAATTAATTTTAAAGGAAACTTACTCTTATTAACCCTTTGCTATAAAAAAGTTCAAGAATCGCTTCAAAACTGAGCCACATAATTGTTCATAGAAATTTCAACACTATAACAGTGTTGAGTGAAGTTTTGCATATGCTGGGCTAGAATGGAATGTCTTATCTTCTCTTTGGAATTTATTATCTAATTAAGTTAATGACAATATAGAATAGCAATAATGAATCATGTAATGAGTCATATGTGTACGATTTTGATACCAATTTGCTGAGTATAAACGTTAGAATTGATTAAATCATCATAAAATACCGGAAATGCATACATATATACATCATGTATGTACTCGAATCAGAGCTGATAATAGAAAAAAAAACGAAATGATCTTGGTTTTAATGAACATAACAGTAACAAAACATAAAAAAACAACTTAATGGAACTTATCCTAAGTTCGCAAATACCAAAGAAAAACTGTCTATGAGGTTGCGAATATCATCTTGCTGGATGTAAAAGAACATTACTCCATTGTCCTAAATTCCAATGTAAATGTTCCCTGGAAAATTGTAGTCTAGTTACTCTTGTAGCATTTTAAATTTGATTGATTCTTTGAAGTATATTTAAAGTCGCCTCGTATATGAAATCGTCTTAAGGCTGTTTTCGCAGTTATAGCATACTGCGATTTGAAGTGGGCGTATCACTTACTTTTCTAATATGTACTTGCTTATGTCAGACCGTACGTGCCGTACCGAATTTAAAAGTTTGGATGTTTATTCAGTGGCGCCGGCCGACGGGTTGTTTAATGATAATAAATGCATTATTCTCCATTCAAATTAGTTTTGTCGGAATACTTTTTTTTTTATTAATTATCGTCGATAATGTTTTAAAAAGAATTAATCACATTTTTAATTTATATGTCTTAGCTAAACATAGTATTAAATAAAAATTTGTGAAACGTGACTGCAAAAAACACCATGGTGTTTATTTATAATAAATTTAAAAGAACATACGAATATTATTATCACAAAAAAATTACAATTTGTTGTCACAAACAAATAAACAATTTCGCAGTTATAGCTTGAAAATTATTTCAATAAATTATTTATTTGTTAGAGAAAACTGATATTAGCGTAGTAAAAATTAAACAAAAAATATTTTTATTTATCTATAAAAAATTGGTACCTGCGAAACCATCATAATAGTAAATGTATTTATTTGGCAAGTATTTCGAGGCGACGCACTGCGAGGAAAAAGTTCTCTGAATGGAATATACATTATTTTAATATATTTATAGGTTGCAGTTACATAAGAAAAGTATCCAATTGATGAATAAAATACAAATCGTGGATAGTTATTTCATCATCATCAGTGGCATTACAGCTCGTCATGAGCCAAAGGCTTCTTCAGAACAATCTTCCATTCGCCCCTGCCTCTGGCAACTTTCTCCATGCTTTAACTCCGATGGATTTTAGATCATCCTCTATGTTATCTTGATACCTAAGTTTTGGTCTTCCTCTGGATCGTTTTCCCACTGGTCCTCTTCGGTCGAAAATTTTTCTGATCGTTTCATCTTCATCTCGCCTAATTACATGTCCTATCCATCAAAGGCGTACTAATTTAATAAATTTTACAACGTCAGGTACTACACCTGAAGAAGCATCATAGTTTACTTTATACGATCTTTTTGACCAAGCACCATCAGCTATAACGGTTATTAACCCATTTCCGTCGGAATCTACTTCACCAATTTCTTTGGCTAAAGCTAATTCCTCCCGTCCAGCCTCTTCTAAGGAATCACAAAGTGTTTGGCTGATGATATCTGCAACTATTTCCGTATGTTTTGCATACTGTTTGTAGGACATCACAGGTATATTTAATGCAGCGTGCTGCTGCTGTATGTCTGAATAACCAGAACCATTCAAGTTCAGTGAATTGTTACCAGAATCCTATGTTGCTATCTCCTTTTCAATATTCCTCATTTAACATTTAAAAGTCAATGTACTTATCAATCCGTCCATTTTTTCTTTGATAATCTCCATATTAGAAAAGTTGCATGAAAATGGAGAATGATTATTCAAACCTTGAATAGATTTAATGAAAAAGTTTATGTCCACTATTCTTCTGTCTTCTACCGAAAAAGATGGTTTTTGCGGAGAGGCAATCTCAACTGACTGAGAATGACAGCTATTACTAGAAATAACGATAAAACTTAAAGTATTTTCTGCAAATGATATTATTTGTTATTATTATTATTTAAGAGTAAAACATTGGTAATATTTTGACCATACACAAATAATATGTAAGGTCATGAACCCTCTATTTACTTACTTTACGGTAAGTAAATAAAAAAAAAGTAAAAAGGGTTACTTACGAATCGACACTACAACTAGGTAAAGTAGATGTTTCTGCTAATTCTTGATGGATTGAACCATGATACTATGAATAACAAGATAGGCTCTTCCCGTATCACAAAATCGGTCGTGTTCGCGCATACTGTCATTGGAGAGTAGAATTTGAATTCTTGTTAAAGTTAAATGGGATTTGTATGCATTCTGTAATGAAATTACTAGACGAAAATAAGTTAAGAGGTTCAATAATTACAATAATTGTACACATAAGGATATCTCCAAACTATTTATTAAAGATTATTTGTTGACACATACAAAAAACTGACATTTCGAATGTCAGATATATATATATATATATATATATATATATATATATATATATAAAGTTAAATAAAAGCTTTTAAAAACGGTTGTAATATAAATAATAAATACTTACTGCAGTGCAATTGCTCTCGTTTTCCTTGACATAGGACGTTTACTGGGACTCATTTTTTATCTTGTCTCTTATAACTTATATCACTAACCTAATGTAATACTTAAAAATACGCGTAAACTAAAGAACTTTTAACTTATACCACTAAACTAATAATATATTACTTAACATACGCGTAAACTAAATAATTTCAATGTTTTCAAAATAAATAAGAATACTGTAAACTGTAAAAACTAAGCAAGTTGATAAAGAAAATACAAGAATGAAAGAACTAAAATGGATTAATTCAAGCGAACTAACTGACCGTACCCATAGAAAATAAAAATAAGACCGTACCGTACGTTCATGAGATATGACGTCACTATCGATCAAGCTCAGCGACAATGATGAGGAACACGTTTCACTATTAGATTTCAGTATTTTTTAGCAATTTTCTTCAAAGTTTGAATACGCTTTTCTCGATTATTACTGGACACAGAAAGGTGAAAAAAGAATCAACGATTACAGAAAAAAAACTCTTTCAACTGATGGGCGTGAAAAGTTTGGTTATAATAGAACGTTAAACAGTATAATCCAATTTTTCAACGGAAAATTCAAAAAAATAAAAAAAGTAAAACCATCAGTTTAAAGGCAACATAATTTCGTATAACATGTCCAAATTTCGAGACATTTCGTCGGTAAATAACAGAGAAAAAATTTTGGTGCACCGATAAAACAGCCTTAATAAAACGAAGAATGTTTTCTGTTTTTTAGTTCGTATCTTTCGAAAAGTGTTTTCAATCATTCTAACGTCGTAGAGTAATAAATCCATTTAATTGTTGTTTATTTTACTGCGGCGATTTCTTTTCATGTAAATGCGTTTCAAAGGATATCTACGTCGTTCGTTGGTTTTGCTATTTCAGCAGTTCGTTGATTTTCAAGTTAAGCGAACAAATTTTTAATTTCGTCACTCTCGGTGAAACCGCTGTCAAGAGCGTTTGTAGTTTTATTGGAGTCCGAATTTTTCTTCAAATTCGTAATGTTTTTTCGTTTTTTTTTTGTCATTTGTCATGGGAAAATGTGTAGTGTGGTGGCAGTTAAGAGCTCGGCGTGTAATCTTCAGAAAGCCGACAGATCCTGTTTATGGAAAGTTATATGTGTTGTATTATGTCCTAAATGGAAGATTTGTAAGGTGTTACAACGATATAAGAGGCCATCGTATTTTCAATGAAGTTTTGAAAATCCAAGCTTAGAAGTTTGCAATTTTTTTTTTGACCCGAAGCCCGATGATCCAGCCGAACTTCAACTTCCTTCGTCTATTTGTTTGTCCCTGGTCATTCCAGACCATTCTGAAGCTTGGAGACGCATTTGTGTTATTTGCAGCGTTTAGAAATCCAGTTCCAGCCCCAAAACTAATATTTAGTGAAGTCAGGTACTTTTTTTGTTAAATTTTTTTTAAAGTGAAAAATAGACATTTATCATTAATAATTGCTTTCATGACAAGTTGAAAAATTTGTAATAAGTAAAATTATAATAATTAGGATTTGGCTGTCATAATAATTATTCTTATACACATAACTAACCATAAGTTTTGAATTTGTTTTGTTTTTTTTAAGTTGACCTTAATCTAAACTGCATTGAAAGATCTATATGATTTCAATTTTGTTTTTTGTAATTATCATTTGTTTTGTAACTGTTTGTGGTACACATAATTAAAGGTAAAATTTTGTTGTCTTAACTTTTTGTTTATTTTTTTTTGAGTAACCCTTTTTGAGTTTATTTGAAAAAGATATGTTTTTTATGTTTTGATTTTGTTTTCTAATTATTTCCCTAGTTACAACTAGTGGTTGTAATAGGCATAATTAGGCACCTCAAGTGGCGCCCTATATTAAATTCCTTGAGGTGTTTCTTGTTTATTTTTATTTTGTTTGTCCCAAGAACCCTTTATTTCTTTTTTTTGTAGTTCCCCCATTCCAATGCCCTTATCTTTTACTTATCCACGACCCCAGCTCTCCTACGAAACCCTGAGTGCCGTTCGCACAAGTAGCGATTATTTTGCTTGCCTTATCTCAACCCCTTTAGTTTCTTCCGCCAATTTTCTACCCCCTTGTATTAATGGCCCCTGTGGTAGGCAAAATATTATCGTTACACTCTGTGCTGTGGAAATAATTTGGACCCAGTTGTTCTTCTTTGAGTGCCTCTCCTATTGGAGATCGGATATCATTAGGGCATAAAACATGCTATCTAATGGTATAAGTAATAATTATACAGGGTAAAGCAATAATTGTGAAACTTTGGTTTAAATGGAAAACTGAATGAGGTTTTTGTTGAACTACAAATTTGTTAAAAATGTCAATTAAGTAAATTTTCAAAGTGGGTTTCATTGTTTTGTAAACAATAATACAGCATTTTCAAATTCTGCACGAACGTTGGCAAATGTTGTTCTAGTAATAGTACGATATGGTTTCGTAATTTTTTCTCGCAATTCCCCAAGTGACGCAGGTTGAGTTTTATCAACAACTGACTTGAGGTAACCCCATAGAAAAAAGTCAGGTGGCGGTAAGTCTGGTGACCTCGGAGGCCACTCAATAGGACCTCTCCTTCCAATCCATTTGTTCGGATAATTAGTATGCCTAACTGCAGCTGAGTAATTTGATATTAGTGGTTATAACGATCTGGGCATTACTTCATTTTATTAATTGTTGAAGTTTTTTCGAACAAAAATAAACCAAAATTGGGGTAGGGGTAAGTAGTATGAAAATTGATATTGGTAGTTATAACCATATGAACCTTACCTAAGCCTCGTTTTATTAACTGTGTAGCTTTTTTGAATAAAAAGAAAAACCTAAGTAGCGATATAGATAAGCAGTGTCATGCTATTAAAAAGAATAAGACAACCAGAACATTACAATGATTTCACAACCAAGAAAATCCACACATAAACTATTATACATAAAGAGTTTCAGATCAAAAGAAAAGTGAACATAAAACTGTCTTAAGGTAGGGTTCCTACTCTCTCTATCATCATTTTACGATCCTTCGGTCAATGAATATGCTCTTGGAAAGATCATTTCGTATTTCGGCCGATTTTTATTACATACTACATCATTTGTCAGGAACTAGAAGTACCAGTGACATCATTTGGAGCGAATCACTGACACTGACTGATGTCATGGATGTCAGAATATTTTAACTACAGAATATACCGAATAAGTTGCTATAAAATAAAAATATAGACGGTTGCGTTTCGATTCAATTCGAGGTTCTCACCAATCTTCTATATGTGTTTCAAAGTTTACCTTTCATCAGGAAGACTTATGAGATAACTGAATTGGATCGAAACATACCGGCAGGTTAGCAATTATAGTAAAATATATACCAAAGTATGCAATTAGCGACCCCCAACGAGGAAAAATGAAGTCAATTGCAATGAAGATGTTTCTGTAATAAATTTGTAATAATAAAAATAGAGAAAATAAATGTTACAGAAGGCTTTTTTGATAATTGTTTTATTTAACAACTATTACCAATCCTAAAATCGAAATAGTTAACAACAAAAATATAAGATATCACTTACCATTTGTGACTGAGCTTGCTCGGGTTCTTCCTGGTCTTCATTTTCGGGCACCACGATTTCATAGTCGTTTTTCGGTTGTGGTAAACTGCTCAGCCCCATTTTTAGTTGATCCTTCATCGACATCTGATACATCTGTGCTCAGCTGGTGTACTTCCTACGTCCATTGCTGAGAACAGATTTTTATTAGAATACCACTGCATAAATAGTGAATATATATGCTTTAGGGTGTCTCAAGTCAAACATAAAGCTTAATTCTTACCTTCTTCTGGGTTAATACTAAGCTTATCCCTAACCGACGGCGTCATTCCTACCGGCGTCTTCCCCACAGGCACCAAAGCACCACTTCTAGGTGTCATAAATCCAACGCTACTGCCAGGAGTGCCACCTCCATCGCTCCTACTGGATCTGAACGGCGTGGCAAGTACGGTATTCGGGGTGCTGACAGTCTGAGCTTGAGGCAGGACCCCGCTGAAATCCGAATTGTGTAGCGGAGTGTTAATGCCACCCTTTAGGGGCGTATCTACGTGTGTGAGAGCCATCATGTTCTGAGCTTCTTGTAAAATCCTGTAAAGAAGATAGAAAAATGAATGTACGATATTTATTCAATATTCAATATATTACAATTCATGGAAAAACTATACTTAGACTTAAATAACGATTATGTTACTGCCACAGTTTTCTGTGATCTATCTAAAGCCTTTGACTGTGTCAATCACAAAATACTTCTTAATAAACTGGAAAGATATTGTTTTAGAGGCAAATGCGAATTGCAGCGAATGGGTTAAGCAAAAAAATATCATCGGGTTGCTTTGCGGTCAAATCAGTTGCTAACCATTTAGATTTCAAGATTACAAAAAGTGTTTATTGTGTTATTGTATAAGTGTTACATTGATTTTAATAGTTTGTAATAGTTTAGCTAATTTACTTACCTATCAGTCTGTGGCGCAGGTGTTCTTGGTGTAGCAGCTGCTTGAGGGTTGAAAGTATAATCATTCAACAATGTATCAGTGGTTTCAACACCGCTTTCTGTAACTATTTCTCTAGCTGCTTCACTCGCTTTGCCCAACTTCACCACTTGATGCATTTCTTGGTCTGAAATTTGTGGTTCTGGGAGCACTAACTTCGATCGTTTTTTAGCTGGTTCCTGGTTTTGTAACATAGCTTGAGGAATGTCGTTTTCCTTGCGCTGCTTTAGTTTCTGTTTATCTTTTTTACGTTCTCTCTGGAAATAAATAAAAATTGTTTAATAGGTTTCATTTTCTGAAAAAGCAGAGATATATTATGTCCAACATTTCTCATACAGTTGACAAAGTCCAGTCCAGTCAACAAACTTTTCGACAAAATAAATATACTGAATATATTTTAAAAAAAATATATTTTATATCAAGGCATAAGAGTAATATTAACTTACCTCCTCTTGTTCACTTCTTAGCTCCCCATCCAAGTGCTGTTGCCTCATTTTTGAAAAATCGGGAGCCATAGGATCTAATACTTCATTGGATGTATCATAAAATCCAATCGCTGGTCTCTTTTCAAAAGGTATTTCAGCATTGTAGTCTACTCCTCGTTTTTTCTTTCTGCGGGAAGTAACTTCTATTCCGGCAGCTCTCAGTTCTCTGCGTTTCTGGAGAGCAGCTAAACGTCTCGCCTCTTCCAATTGCTTTTCACGAGCCTAATAAAAAATTAATTACAAACTCATTTCAAGATGTTTTACATTTTCCAGATTAACAGAATCATACTGGATTTCCATATACATAAGAATTTAAGACATATCAAGTGTTAAATATATGACAGAAGTAGGAAATACATCTGTTATACTTCAAACAAATTTTGACCATTTAAGCAGAAAAGTAAAAGTTGAAGACTAGCATGCCGATTTTACTTGAATTTAAAATTTTTAAGAAACTGCATCAAAGCACGTGGTCCTTCAAGTTAACCCAATTAAACCCCAAATGAGAAGTTCTTTAAAATAACTCCTCTTAAAATTTAATTAGTTTGGCCCAAATTTATAAAAGAAATAGTATGACTCTACTTCAGTTAGTTCCTAGTTTTTCGCAGCACTTGTTAGATCTGTTTTTACACTACTTACCTACATAGAAGGGTTAATGCTCTTTTTTTCTCATACATTGAAGGTTTAAAATAAGGATATAAAACTAACTACAATAGAGTCAGATATAGTACTGTATAAAATAAAGTTCTTACTCTTTTAACATACAAAATAGTATATATATTTTATAGCTTTTTGAGTAGGCTAGAATTAAAATCGTATTCATCAATATTTTATCAAATCTTTTCTTAACGAAAACCTATACCACATAAACTTATTTTTCGTTATAACATGTTAAAATTTAAAAACATTCAACACATGCCTCCCTTCTTATCAAGAAATTCAACTCCCAAAAACAATTTACCTTCCTCTTGGCCTTTTTGCCTTGAGTATTGGCTAATCTAGCTCTGGCTTCAGATAACATCTCTAATTCATCTTCATCCATATCTTTGGGATCTGGTCTTGCAGGTTTTGTCTCTGGATTTGGGTCAATCTCTCCAGGTTTCAGCTTTCTGGGATCATCCACTGCATCCTCACCTTCTTCTTTCTTTTGTGCTTGATCCCTAAAAATAAGATTTTGATACCAAAAAATAAATGTGTATCTACTAAAGCAAAAAACTTACAATAAATATTCATATCTTTCCAAACACTGTGCTGCGGTTCTTCCAATAATGGGAGCAATTGTTCTCCACTGAGTAGGCATAAGTTTAGCCAAATGTAATAGTTTTTCATCTTCCTCTCTAGACCATTCAGTTTTTTTAATACTGGGATCTAACCATTCGAACCAACGTGCTTTACACTGTTTTGCAGACTTTCTGTGAAGTAGCGAAGCTATCCTAGACCATTGGTTTTTACCATATTTCATAACAGCAGCTTTGAGAATTTCATCCTAAAAACCATTTTCACAGTAAATTATTAATCTTAAAATAATATGATGAACTGCTACATTAACTTTGTGTTATACATACCTCAGTGTTTCTCCAAACACCACCTTTTATCATTATTCTAGGCATTTTGATTACTGTAGTATTTCTCAGTTAAAAACAAAATTGAAAATTAACTTTGGTGAAATTTTCACAATTAACCTCAAATCTAGACAAAATTAAATAAACTAATGACAATGACATCCTTGTCACTGTCATATTTTACCACAGTATATTCCTCCACAGCAGTGTCAGTCGCGTGTTAAGTAGTAAAACGACCATTGGTGCATCGCTTAGTGCCAGGGTGCGTAACTAAATATTTACATGGTGGTGGTGGTACATCATGGTCAAGGTTATTAAAAAGACAGGTTGTCTGGTAACTTTACACCAATCAGCGTCGAGAATCTAACGGCGGGAATGACGTCACTGAGAATGCTACATTCAAATTCATTCACTTTACTCCTTGAAATGAACACGAAAAGCAACAATGATTGTAAATATATTATTCTATGTATATCGAAAAAAATACGTTTGGACTTTTAATAACTATTTATTGCATTCCATCTTTAAAAAATTTGGGAGATAAGTACCTGCAGAGTTACAGAAATCATAAAATATTATTCTAGCTAAACATATATAGTAGATAGCATTACTATATTAAATTGGAAGTAGATTCTTTCTTGTGTATACATGTGACACAAACATGTTAATATACTATATTAATAATGGATTAAATACAATTTGCTTTTTTTTAATTATTTTGAATTGAGGATAATGCATTAGTGGATTATTATAAATTCCTCCAAACAAGTAAACCATGCTGAAAACGATATTCAACTAAAGATTTATATATCAGAATTAGTGGTTTTTCCCTTAACTTCAATATATTTAAGGAACATCTGGTTACATTACTGGATTATATAATAGAATATAAAAAATATTAAAACATGATTCCATTAAATAGATACCTTTTAAGTTGTACATAATGAACAGTAAATTATAAAAATCAAAATCAGTGAATTAACACATTTTTACTGAACATTTTAATTGACTATACCCACTTACGATCTTTTTCAGCTTTTTAGGTTGTATGTTTAATAGTTTAGCTTTTAAAGTATCCTCATAATCGTCCATGCGAAAGTGCATACTACAAACTCTTTGTTTAAAACAGGGCCACTTATCCTTCCTATGATACTTGCTCATCCACTGCTTTTGAATTTTTACATTTTTTGGAAATGTAAAAAACATTAAATTCCTTCCATCCTTTTTGGAATTATATTTGCAGATTGCTACCCTACAAATATTTCCACCAGGCATCTGAATCAATAAAAAAATTGAATTAAGTTATATTTTTCCTGCATTAATCCCAATGTTACCTTTACTATATAATACAGCAGAAATAAAATCCAGTAAGACACAATCAAGTTAAATGTATCTTAACACTTGTATAAGAGTTTTGGGTCCTAGTTGTATACTAAAAATCACTCAATAATATCTATGGACATATTATATCTCAAGATATTAACATAAACTAAAACATTAACGATATTTAACAACAAAATATATTCTCCAAACCACTTCTTTCAAACCATTTTGTTTTCAAACAATTCGTAAAATTGACACCCTGGGTGACGTCACACGTCATATTTCATTCTGTCAATGTCAAGAGTTACCATGCAACCTTCCTTTTTACTAACCTTGCATCATGGTCATCGAGCAATAAGACAATAGAGGGAATGTAAAGGTAGAAGGGGTAAACATATTGATAGACAGGAAGTGCCATTTTGAGAGGCCACTTTAGACAAGGATAGAGAGTCTCTCTCCTTGTTTGACATCAAATTTAGTTGGGTTATGTTATTGTTTGTCCCAAATGTCACATGAAATCTTATTTATATTGAAGTTTTTTAACAATTGTGTCGCATTTTAGACTCTTATCATTAATAATTAATTAAAACTTTCTGTCTAAGACACATTTGAAAAATATTATATAGCTACTGTTGATAAGTGTCGAAAAATTTAAATTTGGCGCCTTTGCATTTCCGGATGTGTCCGCCATCAGAGGCCACTTTTTTGGTCTCCTTTTGATAACGATTAGATTCCCTCTTTTGTCTTATTGCTCGATGATCATGGTACAATATGAATACAACGACGTATAATATATTATACGTCATTGGAATACAAGGTATCACAAACCATAACATACAAGAGTATGTATGGTTTGTGCAAGACATGATAAAATTATGTTATTATAATATTTAATCATAAATAAAAATTTTACGTTAATTTAGGTTTATTGATTTTTGGTAAAGATAATTCATAATGTCCTGGACCTCACGTAATCATTTAGTCGCGATCTAGGAACGAAACAACGAAATCAGGCACTGCTAAAAACATGCATCTCTTCAGTGCGTTATCGTAGCGAGACAGAGACGAACTATTTTTTGCGAACAGCTTTAATATTTTTATATCTTATATAAACAATCTAAAAGTGAAAAAAAAAACGAAAAATGGCTTAAAAACACACAATTATTTTTGAATTCACCAAACCTTGTTCTATCAGTTTCTGAAACTTTAGTTTGGGCTTATTTGATTTTAAAACATTGTTTTTAGTTGTTTAAGGCTCTTATCCCAACCTATAAATAGATTTATACAAAACTGTTTAATAAACTATAATAGGACCACTTTTTGTATAGGCGACCTCTTGAACATTATTCTGTGGTCTTTTATGAAAGTCATTATAAAAAAAATCTCATGCGAATATTTTTCCCAAGGAATTCGAGATTTTCGTCTCGTATAAACATATTTTGTTGAATTTAAGACCAAATCCCTATTATTTTTCTATCATACATTAATTTGTTATTTGTTTGTCCTCTAGATAGTGCAATGTCAATATTTTACATTTTTACACAGCAATTCTTATCGGCGGTGAAGACGGAAAGTCGTAAATTTTTATTACATCTTCCAATATGAGATAAAATAAAAATGCGATGACTAACTGGAATGTTTAAGATTACAGAAACATAATATGTCATGTTTATTGAAAATACTCGACATCATTAGCACGAGCAAATCCTACCCTGTCGCCCAATTTCCTATGAAATTAAAATGGTGCATGTTTTTAGGATCCATTTATTTTTTCGGGCATGCGTATTTACGAGGTCCACGAGGTTTTGAAACATTTCTACAGTTATTTTGTTAACATAGATATCCTTCATAAAACAAGTTTTAATTATCTTTTATTACATGTAGCTACAGGTTAATCAACTTATACTCCAGAGTTCAATATTTCAGATGTTTAAAAAGATACAAAAAAGTGGTAATGAAGGTACACAAAATTTGTACGTATATACCTACTGAACTAAACACAAAATCAAAATAAATAACGATAAAGTCAGCTTTATTTATATCGGATAAGCTAGCTGGCCATCGAATATGAGTGTAGTGAGGTCACACAATATTTTAAATAACATCTGTAAGATATTCATCTTTTAAGAATAAGAAGAATTTGTACTGTCATTTGCAAGTCACCATGTATCCAATGACGTATAATATATAGACTACGCAGTCCCCTATTCTCGCTATAGAATCGAGTGTCCGAAAGATCTCGGCTCAAGGTTGAAGGTATGTTTATCACAACAGCGGCGTGTTCATTTATATGTTTATGACAATAATTATTTTTTTAATTAAAATTAAATATTTATGATTTCTTTTTGCTCCCGTCTATAAGAGAACTAATTATATTGATAAAATAGTATGGCATTTTACTAAAATAGTAAGTAAATAACTCTCAACAATTTAAAATAAAATTTGCTTGTCACACAAAATGGAGAAAATGTTTTCATACGTCCATGATGTTTTCAAACACAAGATCAACTTCGTGATGCTTCGTAAGAAATCATGAACTTCGTGCATCTTCGTATCAAAACAATAAACAATAACAAAGGTATTCATGTTTTGGACACTTTTTAAAGCGTTCACCGAGTCTATATATTATTGATATATTATACACGTCATTGCATGTATCGGAGGACATAACCTCTATATGGCAATTAATTAGCAATTTTAGTGTAATGTAGGTACCTGTTTTGTAAAACGTTCTTTTGAAATATGTTTATTTGAGCCTTCTACAATTTATTATTACTACATAACAACATCTTTTGTAATATTCACACATAAAATTATCTTGATATTGTTTATAATAATAACATTATACATTTTAATAATGATTGATTGATTTGACAAAAAAACGAAACAGTTCTTATAGCAAATTGCATAGCAGGCTGAGGCTATATATAGTACAAAAAATATTAATTTAACTTTCATAACTAACAAACGAAAACTTTTCAAATTGATTTTTGTGGACAATAATGTTTCCTATCGACTTACAGTAAGACTACTATTACTAGAACACCTGAAAATTTAATAATCTACTATCACGAATACTTTAAAGGTGAATACAAAAATTTATGCGTTAAAATAACCGTTGCTTGCTCAAAACCGACGCCTATGATCTGTACTAGAAATTAGCAATTTATGAAATCGGTCCAACTCTGTAGGATAAATAATCTTACCAGTTTTCGTTTTTCTAAATAGAAACGTTCTGGAGATATTAAAAAAAACTAATTCAAAGCGGGATCTTCAAAGAGCTTAGCTGCTCCCTTAGAAAGCATTTTTGGACTAAGTGAATTTGGTTAAATTGTCTTAAAACTATTCTAGGAATCTTCGTTTGTCAGGAGAGTTTCTGTACACCCTGTATATTGAACCAGTGGTTGTTTTTGTACGTTCCAGACGATTTTTCCGGAAATCGTACTCTACATTGAACTTTTTTAAGGGTTAAACAACTAGATGAGCGGCAAACCATCAAAAATATGACTATGACCTCGTTAACCATCAAGAAAATCTGGTAAATGTACGTCTGTACAACTTTGCTTAGTAACTTTTTTTTGATTGGAATGGAGGAACATGTAAATAAACAGGAAAAAAACAAAAATTATAATTTTATAACTTTAATGAAATTATTTAACTCGTGTATGATCAACAGCAACTGTTTGGAACAAATTTCACACTTATAGAGCTGTTTCTCTAGTATGGCTTTTCAAATGTGACTTCAAACCACTCGCTTGAGTAAACTGCTTGAAACAAATTTCGCACTTGTAATGCTTTTCTCCACTGTGTATTCTCAAATGTGATTTCAAATAACTCGCTGTAGTAAAT